GCAACATACACTGCGCTTTCTTGGCCTCACGTTTTCCACTGACTTGAAGTGGAGCGAATCAATAGCTGCATCTACTACAATGGAATTTAAGTCATTGTGTCGTGCCAGAAAAGTTTTCTCGCCAGAATCAGTCTTCCACAATTTACAAATCTACCATTCGTCCATGCATTGAATACTGTTGCCATATCTAGTGTGGTGCTCCTGCTATTCATCTCGAGATTCTTGACAAAATCCAAAGAAGGATCTGTAATGTAATCGATCTTGACTTGGCATTTCAACTTCAGTCACTTTCTCACAGATGTTACGTGGCTTCCCTCTGTCTTTTCTACAAATATTTTCATGGCAACTGCTCTGACGAGTTTTTTCTCTGGTGCCCCGAATACATGAATTTAAGCGTGCTACTAGATTGGCATCTAGGTCCCATCTTTTAACTTCTACTTTAACAGTTTTTTCTTGTACTTCCCATTTGTGTATCTCCATTCCATTTACTGGCTTCCTTAATAATCTTAAAAAATTTAAATGCAATATCAATCGTCATTTTCTGTCTTCTTGTATCCCGTTCATATTTTATCCTTTCCTCAATCCTCCCTATTCTCGCTCTTCTCTTTCACTTACTCTCCCGGTAATCCCCCTGCGTATTAATGGCATTCAACCAGAAACTGACTCAAACCACCTTCCTCATTCTTTCACCGTATGATGACGCATTCTTCTGCTGCCCAATGTATTCTGCTCCGCCGTATTTACGAGGCAAACGACGTAAGTCGGAACAAGATTAAAAGAGACTCCGCTGTAACCACGAATCGTCGTAGGTCGGGACTGTCGTAACCCGGGGCATTACTGTACATGTATTGGATCGGAAGAAAGTAGCGTTTTTTAAGTGAATTTCAAAGAGAATACTTACATATTTGTACATTTATTCAACTACATATGCGCCATCTTGCTCCACTACCGTTCGCCATTTTTGAAAGGGATTCACGGTTCCATCCTCCCAGAATTTGGCATCTTTCTGGGTGACAAACTGGTTCAAATGTTTTTTTACAAGCATCCAGAGAATTGAATTTTCCCCTAAAGATACTTTTGTAGGGATCGAAATAAGAGATAATCGAAAGGTCAGGTGAGTGCGGTGGATATAGTAAAACATTCTGGCTAATTCCTGTACCAATCCCTGCTTCTTCTGCAAAGAGACCTGGTATCTGGCGTTGCCCTAATAGAAGACGGCAATCATTTCCGATTGGCCTATTCCAGATGCTTTTCATCGAGTGATGTCTTTAATCGGTGCATTTAGGAAAAGTACTTGTCTAACAACATCGTTTTAATTTGATTCCTGCTACCGACAAACGGTTGTAAGCTTCCAGTACAACCAGTCACTGCCAGAGGTAGATGGATCTTCATAGCCGAAGGGAAGGCAACCCATCTTTGAGAAAGAAAAGTCCAATAAAACCAGGAGTAAACCGTTTAAATCAACTGCCATTAGAATGCAGGATGGCAGTCAGGCGTAGATGGTATTTCATGATGAAATTTTTACACCACCCTCACAGAGCATAATACGCATGCCAGTGCTCCTGGGAAAACTATTAGTAAAACTGACACTGCTACCCTCGATAGGAATGGTGAATCGTTGTCGTCAGCATCCTGAAGAGTGGTGAGCAGGACTCACAGAGGAGTGTGTATGTTGGATGCGGCTGGGTGAGTCGGAACCTCCTGACAGAACGTCACAGATCTTCATGTTGACGGTTGGACATGAAATACTTGTCCCCCACACACACACCTCGATTGTCCTACGTCAGGAAGGCCGATTTGCAGCAACGGTTTCTCAGGTCCCAAGTTGAATCGTAGATGAATACTAAGCCACTGAAAGGCAAAAAAAAAAAAAAAAAAATACACGATGTCTTTCCATTTCCACCAGATACACAACATCATCTTTGAGTGCAAACCGGCTTTTAGAGTGATTACCGGTGGCTCGTTTAATTTTTCTCAAGAACTTTTTCGATCCACATTGTTGCAAACAATCCATTGTTATCGTTCTTTAAAAAATATGCATCTTTTTTTTTTTTTCAAAATTTCAGCATAGAATAGCAGATTGAAATGCGGTTCATTGAATTTTCTTTGCAGTAAATCGTGAAGCACTCAAACATTGTCACGATTCATCTATCCGAATTTTTTCAAATACCTTACAATACTCATGAGTTATAAGGAGTATTTCTACCATGTGTCTTGTCTTGTGACCTGGATTAATTTTTTTTTGATCAGCTTTGCCGGAACGTTCATGGCACCATTTCTATAAACGGTACATACATTTTTTTGGCTGTTTGTAAAGTGTTTTTGTCCTTTTTTGGAGATGAATGTGCATCAAAAGACTAAAATGTATCTCATTTTCTTTCATATTCAACTTTCAGCTTAAAACATTTAAAATATATAATCCACGCACAAATCGTCTAGAACGACGCGTTGAAATGTTACTTAGCATAAATGTATATAATTCATAAATCTCAGTCACGTGTGAAACGAAATCACGTGTTCAAACACCGCCTAATGAAAAACTCTACGCACTTTTGCTCCAAACTAACGCACCAGACGTCAAATAACATCAAAATTCGAAAAGTGTCTTCCAAAAGTTAAACAACGTATCTGCCGTAAAATTGTGTTAGAAATAAAGAAAGGAGTGTTCAATGTAATATTAATCCGCCATTATAGTAGTGAATACTGGACCATTTCTTCACAGATAAAAAAAAGAGACTTGAGGCAACAGCGATGTGATTCTATAGAAGATTGCTGAGAATACCATAGACATATAAACGAGGAGGAAGATTTAAAAACATTAGAAATAAAAGGACACTTATATTTAAAATCAGAACGAGGCAGTTGCATTTTTCGGGTACATAATGAGAAAAGAGGTTTATGAGAATTTGATCCTCATTGGATATAATGAATGCAATAGGCACAGAGGAAAGCGTACAGTAAACTAAATAACAAGCTTGTATAAATGGATAGCAGAACGGGAAGAAGAAACCATAGCAAAACAAAACAAACTTTGCTAAGTGTTTGAATTTCAGTCAAGTTCGTACAAATATTCCTGGGAAAGGTATGAATTCATCTTTTCTTCACCCAGCTATGAGTTAAATAGTACATCAAACTGGGCTCGCCAGCCTTTGTTGGTAGCCAGTCTAAGAAAAGCCCAACTCTGAATTTAAAACTGGTTGACATGGGGCTACCAAAATCATCTCGAGTAAGACCTGCTTGATATGGAAACCACTTTTTAAAAATCATTTCACCCCAAGCAAGGCAATAAAGCCAGTAAGGCTTTACTGAGTGTTAGAGAATATAAGAAAAATATACTATTAAGGAGTGAAGAGAATAAAAGAACAAGAATTAAGAAGACAGAAAATGAGTGACACTGTTAGAATAGAACTTACGGTTACCTTTAGCCATTTCAAATGTAAAAGGATGAAACCTTAACGCCAATCTAGTATTGATTTTAAAGTCATAAAGCTTAGGTACTATAGTAGAAAGTTCATCAGAACAATTTCCATGAAAATATTTATAGAAAAGGCAGAGGGAAGCTACATTACGGCGGCGGGAAATGGACTGAAGCCGAGGTGCCAGCTCAGGACCAGTAACAATAACACTTGGATTTTATCAGGGATCTCTACATGTATAACGGGAGCGCCAGACCAGTTTAACGTGTTGAGACGGTGGCTCCATACACCCCAACTGGCGTATAACGGAACTTGAGAGATAATCCTATTTTATGACGCACAGTGTAAATTGACTGGCTACAATACATTACTTAGTCAACTCAATTAAAAAAAAAAAAAAAAGTATAATGGCAACAGAGTCTGACATTCGGATGTACGATATAATATTGGATAATTGCGCGACAGAAAATTTTCACCTAACACGTTTGGAAAAGTTATCAATCCATTTCTTCTTCTAGGTATAGTTTACATAGCAGATCAGAATAGAATAGCCGCAGTTGGCAACCAGTATAGGAGAAAGACAACTCTGAATACAAATAGACCCGAGCAGATGGGCATGCTTTGAAACGAACAGCCATGTTTCAAATTGAGAAATCACACTGATTTATAATGTTCCTTAAATTTGAAGCAGCTCAGATGATGATGATGATGATGATGACGGGTTGCAAGAATAATTTTAATCAATTCATCGTTTTATTGTTGGAATCAAATTAATCCTTACTTACATCCGATTCTGTTGTTTTTCTAGTTCGTTCTTTGTTTCCGAGTTAAATAGTAGGGCAGTTGTATATGGTCATGATTGGCAACCAGTGTAGGAGAAGAAAAACTCAGAATCCAAACCGTTGGAGAACTTTTCGGAAGTAAGATCCGCTCGGAATAGTCACAGGTTGGTTCTGTGGGTGTTGAAGAAACAGAAATGGGCCTGAGCAGATGGGCATGCCGAAGGGGAGAAATCACACGGGTTTACAGTGTGCTTTAAATTCGAAACAACTCTGATGAGGAGTTCGATGGACCACGAATAAAGGATTAATGAAAGACCCAAATTTCAGAAAGATGGAGAACAAAGACGCGGGTCCATTGCGATGAATAGAAAAACTGAAAATAACACACCTCTGATCGAAACACCGTAACATGAGTATAAAGTTTCCATTTCTTACAACAGTCATCTTGATAAACATCCCGCCCAAATGACATGACGAACGAGCATGGTGTACATTATCACGAAGACATTAATATTATGGAAGAGATGTATCGATTGATCGATTGATTGATTTTGTAATAGAAAGCTTTTATAGGTTATTTGAACTCACAAAATGTTTAGATTGTAAAAAGTTTTTTTTTTAAAGATCATAGTGATTTACTGATATGTCATACTAATTAACCCATAACTGGGGGATAAGAAGTGGATTCATACCTATTACCAAGGATTCCGAAGTGAATATAAGGAACCCGACTGGAATTGGAACTCAGCTCTCTGATTTCCAATTCCGAGACGTTATCCATTACACCACCCGCACACCCAAGCTTACAGCACCTGGTATTTCCAAGCGGTCTCTCATCTAGGTGCTGACCAGGCTCGACTTTACTTAACTTCGGTGATTGTACGGGAACCGGCGTTTGCCATAAGCTCCTAGATGTGTTCCAATATTCAAAGAACAGACATTAGAAAATTAATATGATTAAAATTTTCTCAGTGTGTCATAAAATAAAAATGAATGCCATTTTTTTAAATCAGCGACTTCCAAGACAACTCTAAGTTGACATAAAAAGTTAAATTTTTTGTCCGTCACTTTTTTTTATTGACGTCAGTGTTCGAGATCTGGTTACTGATAGAAATTCTTATTTATCTGATTTTTAAGACTGAACTCTGTAAAAGATTGGCGCAGTGCAATTTTCTCAATTCATATCACATTTTCATTCTCTCGTTTTCTGAAAATAAATAGAACAAATACCAAAAAGCAGAAAAAAAAAAAATGTTTCAGGGGAGGTAAATTCATAATAAACATTTAGAGTGACCTCCCTTGGAAACTAATATAGCATTTTCTTTTCACCAATTCTGTTATGAAAGGTATGAATTCACTCCCTTACATTTATCGGTAAAAAGGTAGAAGTCACTACGCCTATAGCCCTGGAAGGGAAACCAATCTAGGAGAAGGAAAAATCTGAATTCACAACCATGCAGAAAGCAACGGAATCTATTCCACTACCTTTTCCTAGAACAACAATATAAATTCACATATATTAACGAAAAGGAAGCTGTGGAGTGTCATTTACACCAAAAAAGGACATGACAGTAAAAAAACATTAAGAAACTGTTGATAAAAAAGAATCCGACCTGTAAAATACAAGAAATAACCAAAACAAAAAAAATATATTAATAAAGAAGATTCTCTGAATCTCTGTCAGTCACGCACTGTCATTTAATGCAGATGCAAGCACATGCACACAGAATTTGACTGAAGTTTTAAATAAGACATTGAAATAACACAAACACTTCTCCCACCTACCATGGGCTAGGCAATAAAATTATAAATTTAGAAATAAGAAAAGAGAACGTTAGTTTTTGAAATCCTAAAAATCAGATAATGAAGAAGAAAACTGATGTAGACAAACTCCGTACCCATCAGTGGCTACGTACTGCAGGATTAAAATCTGAAACTGCAATTTTTATTCTTACTGCTCAGAATCAATGACCAAACACACATACTCAAAAATTGTGTTATGCCAAAATGCAGATTCTGTAATAAATCTCTAGAAACAATCGATCATCTTGTATCAGGTTGCGTCGTATTGGCACCCACATAATATAAAAGACGGCATGACAGAGTGGGCCAATATCTGCATTTGGAAAATCTGCAACTTTTACAGAAAGGAAACTCCAAGAAACTGTTATGAACATCATCCGGAGCCAATTACAGAAATCGGACCTGTAACAATTTTATGAGACTTTACAATACATACAGACAGAACAATAAAATTTCATCGCCCAGATATTGTGATCAAAAAACCACAAAAACAGAATATGCTTTCTTATTGACATATCAATCCCTGTAGATTGCATTGTATCTTTGAAGATTTTTTAAGAAAACTGTTAAAATACATGGAATCTCGAAATGGAAATCTCAAAAAAGTGGCACATGCGGATATGAATAATTCTAGTTGTAATTTGAGCCTTCGGTTTGAATGGAAAAGGTTCCGATAGACTCATTAAAGGGATTCCTGGTAGAATATGCCTTAAAGAAATACAAAAATTCTACTCACAAGTACAGCTCACACATTACGAAGAGTTCTATTCATGCATTATGTGTGTGATATTATTTTTATTATTTTTACAATAATGATCAATGGAAAATGCCCTGAATCCATTTCTGACCTTAGGTCTCTGGTTATTTTCGTTTCAGACCCCTGGTCCATGCGCTTATAATCCACGAAGTTATTATGCCTATCTTCCAAAACCTCCAGTATATACTTTGCACGACAGAACAAAAATTCCAATAGACTATGGTGAAAAGCCCGGCCCGTCTGTATACTGTCCAGAAAAGGTAAATTTTCACTAATTCTTCTTCTTTTTTTTTTTTAAAACTTAATAAAAAAAAACCGCGAACATCTTACTCTTACCACCTTACTAGTATAATCTATTCTTGCAATTCTAGCAATTCATACTATGGTACAATTACTAGCGCGTTTACTAGAAATACCAGAGCTATGTCTCAGAGTAGTATTACTAGAATTTCGATAACTAAATGTAGATTTCTTTAGAAATAAAGAAAAGAATACCAACCTGTTATGTAATATTAGTTTCCTTATATGGCAGTAGATTCTGGACAATCTCCTCACATATAAATAAGAGACTTGAGACAAAAGAAATGTGGTTCTACAGAAGTCGTCGTCGTCGTCGTCGTCGTCGTCGTCGTCGTCGTCGTCGTTTTAAAATATTTTAAAACGACGACGACGACGACGACGACGACGACGACGAGTGGAAAATAATTGTGAATCCGAATGCGGTTATTTGTAGGTTCTTAACTCTTTGCTCATTATTTATTATTGATTATTTCGTGTAGTTTGTATTTGTATACGCGTTATCCCTGATATTTATATATATATATATATAATGAAATAAAAGTGAAAACTTTCAATATTTATCGAAGGTCAACTCAGAGTTGATATCTGAGTTGATCATTGTTAAGTATTGAAAGTTTTTATTTTAATAATACATGTATATGTTTACAAATTTTATTCTATATATTCACACACACACACACACACACACACACACACACACACACACACATATATATATATATATATATATATATATATATATATATGTACATTTAGGTAGTATATCTTAATTCAAACATGTTTCATTGAATAACCAATAATATAAACATATTGTGCCTATTTATTTTTAGATCCTTTTCAGTTTTCTAATCAGTTTCTTGATGTTAAGATGAAATTTATCAAGGAAAACGCGTTTAGTTTTTTCCTATCTAAGTAGTTTTCATCTTTTTCCGCATCATTTTCAAGGTTAAATTACAAAGACGAACTTATTGTGACTTCTGTAAAATTTGCGATATTTATTATTATTTTGTATTTTATTTTCTACTATTAATTAATAAGAATGTCCCTACAATCTAATCTCGAGGAATATTTTTATTTTTTTTTTAATGTGCCACTCTTTTTTTTTGTTTTGTTTCAGTCATGGCCGCATAAAACTAGAGCTCCGGGATATTCTTTCGGCATTCGACATTCGCAGTACATTGCCCCACTCCTGCATAAAACAGACGATTAAAAACTCATACGCCCAGTTCATTATGCGGGGGTGGGAACGACATGACCATGAAAATCTTCTGCTTGAATATTTCTCGATTTTCTTTCAAACAAATTATTGTTACATCTACGTTTGATGTGACATTCATTAAAACAAACGCGTAACAAGAATTATACTAAAATAGAACAATTCTAAGAATAGACTGTAATAAAAGTTATGCGACAGGTAGAAGATTCATTCTTACCGTAGATCTTATTAGGCACAATAAGAGATTAGCAACAATACCTAATAATAAAATAGAACAATTAAATCAATATATTGTAATAAAAGTTATGTGACGAATAGAAGATTCGTTATTACATTAGATCTTATTAGTAAGAGATTCGCAACAATAATTACTAATAAAATAGAACAATTAAAACAATATACTGTAATAAAATTTATGTGACGGGTAGAGCATTCGTTCTTACTGTAGATCTTACATAAGAGATTAACAACAATAAGTAATAACAAAATAGGACAATTCTAATTATATTTGTACGTTTTCTATTGTTAGCAAGTTAGTAGTTAGTATGCGCGTTACGCCTACCATTACCTCAGATAAATAATGGACTATTCCATTTCGATTGCGATGACACAGAAAATATCAGTAATGTTGTTCGGTCTTGAAGAGAAAAAGAAAAAGTACATAATAATCAGAAAGCAAGAATGAATGAACGAAAGAAAGAATGAAAGATAGAACGAAAGATTGGGAAGTCGATAACACTCTCATACGTTTAACGTCTGTTTCAGTGAAATGGGAATCCGTGTCAGTTTTGAATCTTTTTATTTGTACCCCCTTACTTCTTTTAATAATCTCTTGAATTCGTACTTATAATTGCTATGGCGATATTTTGTTCAAGTGTAGCTCAAATATTTAACGATGTGATAGAGGAATTTCCACAGGTATTTTATAATCGTGAAGTATTGTAATTATTTATATTATTTATTGTTCGGACTCTTATCCTTATCTTCGTTGCCATATTCACGACATTTCGACCGTTGTACACTCCGGCTTTCTTCAGGTCATTGGAATTTCAAACTGAACCCTTTATTTCGTCCACCAGGGTAGATTGTTCTATTTTTCACAAGGGGAATAGAAAAATCGGGCGTAGCTGACCATATAAGGAGGGAAAAGGGAAATCACCGGCCCCCGTGGGATGAAGTTGAAATAATAGACAGAGAACATCATTAGAAAATACGAAAACCTAATGAATCCGCACATATGCCAGGGCACAAAAATCTCTTAAGGTGGCTAATCATAAAAATGAATAAAACATAGAAACCAGTAATACGGAGTGTTAGAGAAAAACAATAATAACGACAAAATTGCAATATGAGCTGTAGTAAATAATGGTTACTACGATATTAGGTTTATAAGTCCCCCAAATTCATACACTTATGTCCTCAAGGACACATCGCCCTGTGGATAAAAGCGTTGGTTGAATCAAGTGACTTAACCTAAAGAGTTGTGGCTACAGCAGAGGTAAACAAAAACTTGGAGAGTTAAGTTAAAAGGGAAATAACTGACACGGAAACACCCGGAAGAGGCATGGCAAGTGGAACTAGAACAATCTACTCCGGTGGACGAAATAAAGGGTTCAGTTCGAAATTCCAATCACCTTGTCGGCCGAAGCATCGTGAATATGGCAACGAAGATGAGGACAATAGCCCGAACAATGTAAATGATGCAAATAAATTCTTTATTTAACTGGGACAGCTTAATGCGAAACTAAAATGTACCATTGTTTAATAGAAAAAGTAAGGCTAGTTTCAGATTATTCATTCATGCTTGATTCTCATTTGTGATATTAT